CCCTGTTTTTTTCCCTTCTCGGTCTGTGCGACGCCTTTAAATACAACATCTATAATGCAATTTCAACTAATTCACCTGTTATACACCTCGCTGGCTATATACCGTTCAATAAATAACTGACGCATATACACATTTCTCCCCAGTCCTGGCTGAAGTCTTACGCGCATCACATCTATTTCCTTAGGGCCTCGGCCTTCTTACAAGGTTCCTACAAGTATATCTTTTTTCTTTTTTCATATGCAACAGACATGCCCTCGTGTTTCCGCTCCGACCCCCAACACACGGTTGCCAGACCCCTCTCTACCGCGTCCACATGCGGCGATCCCACAGCACTTTTAGCTATCAACCCTGATAACCGCCATTAAATGTCTGGTGTCCCTACAAGGGAGAATAGATACAGGGACCCTCTGTGTCCCCCAACACCACCCCCCGAGCACTTACCTTGTCTAGCAGTTATCTCCAGAGCCGACCTAAAAAACTAAGGTAAGTGCAGTTTAGCATCTCAACTAAATGCAACCAGAGGCAACCGCCCAGCACTTTCATTATTCAAACTGCAATGACCATTTACAACCCTGCTAATCCTGCTTTCTCTCCATCTCCTCCCATTTCTTGTACGCACTTATGTCAGCGGAACTTGATAGCATGAAGAAATCAGCTTTAGTACTTTGGTACTGGAGAAGAGCATACAATCATTCTTAGACACGGGTCTCTCGCTTTGTCGACCCAGGGCAGGAGTGCACGTGGCGCATGATTATAGGCTGATCACTCGGCAGCCTTGACCTCCCAGGCTCAAGACGAGATCTTCGCTGGCTCTGCCTCCGCGTGTAGCTGATAGCTACATGTATAGCCCAGCTACAAGCTATAACTCTCAGCTACACGTTTCTTAAATTTTTACTTTTTTTGTAGAAGAGATGGGGTTTACATTACTGCCCAGAGCTCATCTTGCATTCCGGTCTCAAGTGATCTGCCAACCTCAGCTCCTAAAAGCTGGCTGAGATTATACGGGCAGTGAGGCCACTGCCGCTGGCCCAATATCTACATTTTTTTCTTTTTTCCAGAATAGCTGGAGTCGCAGATGGTGCATCCTCCTGGCGTCCTGGGTTCAAAACTATTCTCCACCCTCGCCTCACCAGGTAACTGGGCTGACAGGTGTGGGCACCACCCCACGCCAGCTAATTTTTCGTATGTATTTGCTGGACACGTGTTTCATCCACGTTGGCCAGCTGCTGTCTTTGAACATCCTGAGCTCAGGCGATATGCCCACCCTCAGCTCCACAGTGCCTAGGATTCACAGGCGTGAGCCACTGCTCGTTTGGCCCATATCACTTCCTTTAAAATAATCAGCGAATACAAACATTACAAATAAATTTCGTAATCTACAATAGCAGTAATAGCGCAACATAATAGGGACACTAAACCTCAGGAATACCAGGTTCCTCGCGTTTCTTCTGGCCTTAAATAAAACCGTTAGCGGAGGTTGCAGTAAGCCAAGATCCTGCCACTGCACTCCAGCCTGGGTGACAGAGTGAGACTCAGTCACAAAAAAAAAAAAAAAAAAAAAAAAGTCCTCGCAAAATAGAAATATGTGACTGCCAAAGTACAGTACAGTAAGACCTCTCCACACATGACTGAATAAACTCTTCAGAACATTGTGGAGAAGAATTTAGATTGGGCTGTCAATGTCCTGCCTAGTTAATAGGAGTGTACACGCTTCCTTCAGTAGAATAGCGTGTTCTTTTGCAGGGATATATTTCTGAAAGAGGATCTTTGAACAGCACAAGGATCCACTGTTTTCTATTCCTTAATGATTTGGGAGGAACAAATTGTTCATGTATATAGGCCAAGTATGTTTTCTTAGCATGTTTTGTTTTATGCATTAATTATTCCTTAGTTATTTATTTAGTTTGATTTCTTCCAGGACTGATTTCTTTTCAACAAAAGGACAAATGCTAATTCAAATCACTTCGGAAATGACCTAAAAGTCATTAGAAATATCTTGAGTGGAGTTAACACAGCATATATAACTGTTCAGGAAGTTTTCATAATTCACCAATAAACCATTCTCTTTAAATTTAAAAAGAACAAACAGGTAACTTCAGAGGTCTTATCTCTGTAAACCTTACATTATCATTACCTGGCATAAACTTACAACAAACAAACAAACAAACAAAACCCCACCCAGAAAACGTCATTATCCCTATCCTCTTCTGCATTGTTATAGTATGAATTCTTGGTAGATGTAGCTGCAGGCACTAGCAAATGACCTTCTCAGAGGACAACCCGGAGAAAACTTAGCTACAAAGTGCCCTAGCAAAGTGCCCAATCTTCAGGTTTTGAAGGACTACTGTGTTACTGCTTGTGTGTGTGTGTGTGTGTGTGTGTGTGTTGCTAGCAACTTACCAGTTTTCCCAATATTTTCCAAAAAAAAGATGATTTTTAAGTAGCATTTGATAAACATGTCTAAATTAATTATGAAGAGAACTAGATGGTAAGGATCCTAAAACAGTGGAATGTGTTTCTGAGAGTGACAACAGAATCAGCTACCCAGCCTTTAAAAAGAGAATTTATAACCTTTTAATAACAGAATAATAGTAGGGTGATTCAGGGGAAGTCCTTCAAGAGACAAAGTAACGCAGAGTGACCACTCCGAGTTTCTTCAAATATAAAATTCCATAACTTATTTTTCTTAAAATTGTTCACACATAGTGCAAAGCCTAAGGTTTTTAATTTAACAAGCTGAAAAAGTCTATTTAGTTCCTTCTAAACAACAGTTAGCAAGCTTTAGTAAGACAGAAGTCTGGAAATTGTTCTTCAGGCCTTGTACACCTGATTTCTGAACAATGTGAACTTCAACAATGTGAACAATGAGAACCTCAGTGGAACCGTAAAATGTTACCAAATAGAAAAAGTGCTATGACCCAATTTCTCTGTTGGAGCCTGATAAATAGGAAGTGTCTCATCCTGTTTTCTGGGTTGGCAGTGTTTGCCATGCAGGTAGAATACATGTAGGTCGAATCTCATATTGTGCTAAATCACAGCATTCTGAAAAACTTGGGACCTTGTAAAAGGCCATATCTCAGAAAAGTTACTGCTTCAAATAAATGTGCCATTTTATAAAATTATACCTACTGTATCAGAAAAAAATGTTCTCTCATGTGAGTGACATTTAGATGACTGCCGTTTGTAGGGAATAGGGTATTCTCACATAGCAAGGCTGAAGAATGGTTTTGTAAGCTGAGAGTATTTTCTGAATGATAAATGTGGTAGAACTTGAAGATGCTCCTGTGGGAAGAGACTCTCCCCCCACAACTGGAGAGTTTCCTTATAAAAGTGGAACCTGCATTATTATGAAAAAAGTAACCACTGAATTATAGTTGTAGCATTAAGGAGATTTTCCATGTATTTCAAACTTGCAGGCATCTGTAGTCACAGCTTTTCACCTTGTTAGAGTTGAACTTTCTGGATCATCTGGCCCAACAGCCAGCCTTTTATTTTATATCTGTGGAAACTGAGGCTGAGATATTGAGCTTCTAGTTTTTATAGAACTAGGAATAGTATTCTCCCTTCCCTCTCCCATTCTCTATCCAATTCACTTTCTCAGCTCACTGAAACCTCTGTCTCCCGGGTTCAAGCGATTCTCCTGTCTCAGCCTCCTGAGTAGCTGGGATTACAGGCACCTGCCACCACGCCTGGCTAAGTTTTGTATTTGTAGTAGAGACTGGGTTGCACCATGTTCGCCAGGCTGGTCTGGCACTCCTGACCTCAAGTGATTACTGGCCTCGGCCTCCCAAAGTGTTGGGATTACAGGTTTGAGCCACCGTGCCCAGCCTCAGTACACCAATCTTTTAAAGAAATTTCCTAAATAACCATCTAGAGGTGGGAAAAAGAATAATAAATTTCTGTCACTGGACAAACAAACAGAACTGAGGCTTTATTTACTCTTCACAATAAATTACATTCTGAACAATCTTCCTCCAGAAAAGTAACCTTTAAATTGCATGAGGAAATTTAAATCAAGATCAAAGATGGAAGTGGTTGCAGGTATCAGGACAAATTTTTAGCTACTAGTCAAGAAGCAGCTTCGGATCTGAGACCTTGGAGATTGCTAAAGCCACATTCTTTCAGCCTGCTTTTTAATGGGCGCCCCAAGAGTGCGCCAATCCAGAAGTAAGATGCAGAGAAGAATCTAATCCCCCAATTTTCCCCCTATGGGCTTCTCTGCACCCTGTGGTAGGGGTGAGCGTTAAACTCCAGGAAGTTAGAAGCTTGCCGAATCGTGGAGCAGCCTCAGGTGACTTTCCCCGAAAGGGATGCCAGGGCGCGGCAGGGAGTTTGCAAGCACCTGTTCCTCAGTGCTAGTGGGCTGGGGAGTGGGGTCCTAGCAGCAGGGACTGGAGGTGAGCTGAGGCAGATAAGGGACGGGAGCCTTGTGGCGAAAAGTGACCCACCTGTGGGAGAGGCGCTTCCGAGGAGGAAGCGTCCTGCGCAGCCGGTGCGCGCCGCGGGCCGGGCGGGTAGAGAGAAGTTTCGCGGCGCCTGCAGCTCAGTGCTGGGGCTTGTGGCTCTGGCTGCTATAAGAAGCCAGAGAAGGGCGGGACGGTCCGCGAAATTTCGCAAGAGAAGCGGAGAGGAACTTGTTTCCTGGAAGAGTTCAAGCTGAGAATCCCAGCAGCTGGAAGGACCGGAACTTCTATACTGCGGTGCTGCTGATGGTGCCGGTGACCCCTGGGAAGCGGGGATTTTAAGGATTTCACCCGAGACTTGGCATCTGTGCATCCCAGGGTGATTGAGGTTTGAAGAGGTCTAGGAATCCCCCTTTCCTAAAGGAGTAAGAAGCATCTCTTTGAGTAGCTGAGAAAACAGCACCTGGACTAGGCTTCTAGGCAATTCTTTTGCCATCTTAGTTTATAGAAAAGGTGGTATCTTTCCCCTTTGCCTGGAAGCCATGGGTTCTTATGGGGCTCATGACTTGGAAGATCTTGAGTTTTCAGGTCTTAATTTAGGTAGATTAAAGAAATAAAACAAATGAAAGAGGGATAGGGATACCTTATGATATGTATGCAAGTGGATTCGTGTGTCTTTCTATATAGTAGGTCAAACACCACAGCCATGGTTGTTTAAGATTGAAATAATCCTGATAATCTATGGGGCAAAGCATCCCCACACTCCCAAACTCTGTAATCTAAATCCCAGAGTCTTCCCAATGATCTCCACCCAGCCATAGGTCTTAAATTCCACAGTATACGCTTGCCAAGCTCCAGAGGCCCAGTTACATGGGAGGCCTGTTCCTCCCGTGGAAGGGGGTTGTTAAGTCAACTTTCCCTTTGTCTGGATTGCAGCTCTCCTCATAGCTTCTTGTGGGGTCGGTCAGACCCCATGTCTTTCAAGAAGTCTTTTCTGAGCCATTGGTTGCAATTAATATTTTCTTTCTCTATACAGTAGTTTATACTTTTAGCACAGTAATTATTGTCTTTCAAAAGAGTTATTATCAGGTGTGTGTCTCTTGTTCCAGACTGCAGTCTTTGAGGAATGACACCCCAGTCTTTTCAGTCTGGAATTCTTCACAACACCTAGCAAAATGCATTACTTAACAATGGGAATTTATTCTGAGGAATGCCTCATTAAGCAATTTATGAAATATATTCTGAGGAATGTCTCATCAAGCAATTTCGTCATTGTGTGAACATCATAGAGTACACTTGCACAAACCTAGATGGTATCACCTACTACATGCCTAGGCTAGATGGTATATAGCTGATTGCTCCTAGTCTACAAACCTGTGCAGTGTGCTACTGTACTGAACACTGTAGTCAGTTGTGATACCATGGTAAGTATTTGTGTATCTAAGCATAGAAATGGTATAGTAAAAATGTGGTATAAAAGATTAAAAAAATGGTATACCTGTATGGAACACTTACCATGAATGGAGCCTGCAGGACTGGAAGTTGCTCTGGGTGAGTGAGTGAGTGAGTGTGAAGGCCTAGGATATTACTACACACTACTGAAGACTTTATAAACACTACATTTAGGCTATGCTATTATAAGACATTTTTTTTCTTCAATAGTAAATTACTCTTAGCTTACTGTAACATTTTTACTTTTTAAACTTTTAAGTTTTAAAAAACTTTTTGACTGTTTTATAATAACACAGCTTAAAACACATATTGTATAGTGTGTACAAAAGAGTTTTTGTCTTTATATCCTTATTCTATAAGCTTTATTCTGTTTTTAAAAGTTTTAAATTTTTTGCTAAAAATGAAGACACAGACATACATAGTAGCATAGACCTACACAGAATCAAGATATGCGCTATCACTGTCTTCCACCTGTATGCCTTTTGTTACTGAAGTGTCCTCAGGGGCAGTAACATGCATGAAGCTGTCTTCTGTGATAGCAATGCCTTTTTCTGGAATACCTGCTAAAAGACCTTCCTGAGGCTGTTTTACAGTTAACTTTTTAAAAAATACAAGTAGAAGGAGTACACTCAAAAACAATTTTAAAAGTACATATAATAAGTACATAAGCTAGTAACATAGCCATTTATTTTCATTATCAAGTATCATATACTGTACATAATTGTATGTGCTATACTTCTATATGACTGGCAGTGTAGTAGGTTTCTTTACACCAGCATCACCACAAATGTGAGTAGTGTATTGCTCTGTGATGTTACAACAGCTACAGTGTCCCTAGGCAAGAGGAATTTTTCAGCTCCATTATAATTTTATGAGACCGTTATTATCTATGCGGTGCATCATTGACCAAAACATTGTTAGGTGGTGTATGAGTGTAATTGGTACTTAATATTTATTGCACTCATTAATTAATAAATCTACTGCCAATTATTATATTTTGCAAAAAGTTCATCCGATAGTATTCTTTGGCTGGGGAAGAACTTAAAATATTCATTGATTTTATAGCATCTGATTTTCCCAGTTTGCAGACTAATAGGCAAGACAGGGGTGTGCACCCATGGAAGAAGTTCTGCTGCATGTCCCTAAGAGTCTTCATAGATGATCAACACAGTTTTGGAGACTTGACCCTTGTCTACCATTTAGTTTTAAGCCTTGATGGGCACAGAAGCTTGATAAGCACACTGAGCCTGAAACAACCAAAATGGTGACTTGTTAGTTGTTAATGGAATATAAAGCAAATAGTTACTGTAAAATACAGTTGCTAAGGGCACCAGACATTATGGCCATCACATTCTCTCCATGTAGACATATCCTGTGGAAGCTATTTTATATGCAGAAGACTGCTGGATAAACAGAGGAGTGAGTTATAAAATTCCCAGGTTTACTGACAGCTGGTTAAGAGAGTACCTACATCGATGCATGCCATTTAGAAGCAAAAGCTGGGGTCTGTGGACCAGGTCACTCTGGTTTCTAGCTGGTGTTTGGATCCACTATGAGTTGACATAATGGGCAACCATATTCTCAAATGCATCCTCCAAGTAATAACGGAATCATTGCTTTATAAACTTATTATTATTAGGTGGATAAAAAATTGTGAAATGTGATTTTTATGAGAGGCAGATATATTTCAGTTATGTAAGGTATTTTCTTTGCCAAAGGCAACTAGAGTCCTAGAAAAGGAAGATTAAATTACTGGGATATGAAGGATGGAAAAAAAATGCCTTTATTAGTGCAAAACTAAAGAGGCACTTGACATATTTCTCTTGTGGTTTAAAGATTGATTTTCCCCTTGGGCCTAGGAGGGACACACAATTCATAACTCTCCTAGTCTTTCTGTAAACCCTTGCCATAGGGGAAAATTAAGTTTCCCAAAGATACCAGCAACCTGAGTACCCAAGGATTTCCTGTTGGCAGGATTCATCCTTCTTCCTGTAGTTTTATACTCAGAGCTCCAGATAAACCTTCCCAGATGTTGTGCACCACCAAAGGTTCTTACTTAGGGATTTCCACATTTACTGGGCCCCTGAGTCTTTCCTGTTATTTCCTCTCTCCTCCTCCTACTATGTCAAAGGCTGCAAATGAGAGAATTTAGGCAAACTGATGAAGTAGGCCTAGAGCCAGTGTTCATTAAATGTTATTAAGTGATTGAATAAATGTTACCTTTAACATTTTTGTATCTCCCTTTCAATGTCATTTTTCTCTTTTTCTCCTTTCTCCCCAGTAAAGGAGAAAACTAGTGCTCCCCTCTGCACTATTTTGTGTCTTGGGCATTTATCCCTCTTCCCCAAGGCCTCTCCTTACAGTGTTCCACACCTTCTTATGGGGTGGGAGGGAGCTTTCAGCAGGTGCCGGACCAGGAGGTGATTGACTTGATGGTCTATAATTAGCATGTATATGTGAATCTCTTATTGACTTAAAGATTTGCCCTCTAGCTGTTTTTGAAAATTTTTTTTTTTTGAAAGATTCCTAGAGATGTCTCTGTCTAACCCCCCAAAATGAATCTCTATGGCAGAGATTTCAGGCACTCTGGGAGATATATTTGAGTATTGGTGTAAGGAATATTTTGTCTTTTGCTTACCTAGCATCCAGGACCAGGACTAAGTGAAGTGAGTGAGGAGGCTAGGGAACCAAATTTGTGGAGGTGCTCACTCTCAAAACCCAGTCTGCATGAACCTGAAAATAAATGGCTTCTTAAATGTTGCTCCTTTGGTGCCTCACTTGCCTGCTCTAGTCCTGGTCCTGCAGCATCCATTTCTCTTTGCTAATTATATCTTCATTTTCCTTTGATAAATGCCCTTGCACAATCTTGATTCACGTGGTTCAAGTTGAACAGACAGCACTACTGGGGTTCCAGGATCAGGCACCTGACTTAGGCCTGGTCATTCAAAGCATAAAGCCTTGTCCACAGTGATTCGTTCAGTGATGGCATATGACCTGAGTTGGGCCAATAGGAATCTTTCCTGGAACAACCTGGGAAGCAGCACACTCTTTACAAAGGGTTGTGGAACTGCTAGAAAGCAAGCCTGGGTCACTGTGAGGAGAAAGTCAGCATGAGAAAGAGGCCACTTCAGGAGAAAAGAGAGCAAAGAGATGAGAAGAGACAGATTTCTGCAATTGTTAGAGTGCTGTATCTGAAGAAAGCTGTATACTCTGGGCTTTTTAGTGACATTAGTCAATAACTGAATGTCTGTTATTTGTATAAAACGGGGTTGGGTAGGAGGAGAAAGGCACCTGCTCAGTCAGATTTCTGTGATTGTAATGCCTACTGAGGTGACTTCATCACAACGTGCGGTCAGAATGAGGAAGGCATTTGTTGTTAAAAAAACAAAGCAAAACAAAAACCTTTCTGAGTTTTCTTGTAGTAGTTTTGGGACTTGGATAAATAATCAATTTCTGTGACTGAAGTTTTTCAGCGAATTCCTGGGATATTCAGAAATTCATTTTCCTGTCTCAGGAAACTTTTTTTCTACTTCTTTCCTATTCTAGTGGGGGTGGACAGATATAGAATCCTTCTCCTCCATTTTCCTGAAACTGCAAAGGGTATAGTGAAGAAACCAGGTCACTGACCTGGTTTTAACCAATTTCTAGGACTCCTGCCAACACAGACCAGGAAGCAAAACCAAACAATATTTTACTACCCACTTGTACCCAAAAAAAGTACTGATGGGAAAATATGTCAGACACAGACAGTATTGGAGTCTGAACTAGGGATAAT